ACCCAAAGGTATGGATTAATTAATTGTAATTTATTTTGTTTTTTCAGTATTCTGTTCACCTCTTTAAACAAAATATACATAGAATTTCTTTCTATTGCTGTAACCATCTTTGACCTATTTTAGTCTTACAAACATAGACTTTCTACTACAATTTATTTAACTGATCACCTGGGTTTTATTCCAAACTTTTGTTTACAGCTGTAGAGATTCTGGCAGACATAACACAGAACAGTTTATTGGGAGATCAGGAGATTGAAAGGGAGAGGGGAGTCATTCTCAGAGAAATGCAGGTATGATATGTTGCAACTTTATTTTAAAGTACTACTTTCTGTAGTTACTTTCCTTTTAAAAATAGTGAGTTAAATATTTGAGTTTTTTAATATCATTCATTCCTAGGAAATTGAGACCAATCTTCAAGAAGTTGTATTTGATCATCTCCATGCAATAGCATACCAAGGTACCACTTTGGGACAGACAATCTTGGGACCAACTGAGAACATCAAGTATGTTAATTTTAAAAATTGGATACATTTTGCATTTCTCCCATCAGATACTGCAGTCTTGAATAGTAAAAAGACCTTATGTTATTGATTCCATTAGAAACTCTCTCTCACCTTGTAGTAGAACAAGTACCTTTCCAAGAAATCATGAACAAAAAATTAGAAAGCTGATACTGTTTGTTTTTTCATGGAATGGGCACCATTTTGCTCAAAAGTCTTAATAACAGAGACTAATGCTTTGATATATGGACAGCTTTTGTTATGTTGTAGGTTTCTTAGTGTTAAGTCCCTCTGATGCATAAATGTAAACTTATTTTAAAACAGAAAAGGTAAATTAATTGAATTAAAGAAAATCTGTATTACCCTTTATGGTTTTAAATACTTAAAATTTTTTTTTTCATTTATAGATCCATCACTAGAAATGATCTTGTGGAAGAATATATTAACTCTCACTACAAGGGCCCCCATATTGTATTAGCTGCCGCTGCAGGTAATATTATTTTACATTAATGCTCATATGTATTTGATGTGGGTGATATAATATATTGCATGATAAAAATTTGATCTAAGAAAAAATTATTTTAGCCCAATTTGAAGTCTTTTAGTAAGTGCAGGTTTCAACAAAGAAAACCAAAGCATGACACAAGAAGAAATCAGAAAATAAAGATGCATTTTAAAAATTTAAATGTGCACCAATTGCAGGAGTTAATCACAATGAGCTGTGCAGCTTGGCAGAACGTCACTTTGGAAAGATGACCGCTGGTTATGATGGAGAGATTCCCATCTTGCCCCAGGCAAGGTTTACAGGAAGTGAGGTATGAGAATCTAAACTTTTTAATCCTTCTGTATTTTGTTTTTACTTCCATATATAAGCTCTTAAAACTTGGGGGTGAAATAATAAATGCTAGAGTTGTGGGAGGTTATGTTTTACAATTGTTGTTCACATAATTACAGCTCAGGATACTAGATGATCTCATGCCTTTGGCTCACGTAGCTATCGCAGTGGAAGGATGTGGCTGGCAGAACCCGGACAATTTGGCACTGATGGTGGCCAATACTCTGATAGGCAGCTGGGACAGATCCCATGGGGGAGGCACCAATCTACCCAGTCAGCTGGCCCAGCACACCGTCAAACTTAACCTGGCCCACAGCTTCCAGTCCTTCAATACTTGCTACTCAGACACTGGCTTGTGGTTGGTTTATGGATTTTCTTTCTTACTATAAAGGTTGATAGTGTGTGGCTAGTCATCAGCCAGTCCAGATATCCAGACTTTTCAAGAATCTTAAAGACTTGAAACTGAAACTTAAAAGAAATATATTCAGCAGCACAGTAATGCAAGTTTACTGTGCAGTTTTCATGTTTTATTAAACAATTTTAAAAATTGCTTACCCCATTAACCCAAGTAGGTCAAAGATATTTCAAAATCAGTTTTAAACAAACATGCTGTCTCAGTAGCAATTTTCTTATTTCTAAGTGTAAAGGAAGTGATGCTCTAATAATAAAGGTGTGAGGGCTTTGGTTTAAAATGCAAATCTTATGGCCATTAGTTAGTCAAGATTGTAAAATTGGGATTACTTTAACTACCACCCTCTCCCTTCACTAACATTATTTTATTTTTAACAGGGGTATTTACTTTGTCGCAGACAGAATGATGATTGATGACTTTATTTACAATGTCCAACATGAATGGTAGGCTAATTTTATCACAATCTATCAATTTGCTCTTTTTATTTGTAAATGGTCAACAATATTTAATTTATTGTAATGTTATCTTTCATTTTTTTAAATATCACTTAAATTTGGTAATGTTTTTTGTACACTCCTATTGAATTCTCTGCTGTATGATATCTTGTTGATAAATACAAACAGGATGCGTCTTTGTGGTGGTGTAAGAGAGGCTGAAGTAGAGAGAGCCAAAAATTTGTTGATGACCAATATGCTCCTGCAGCTGGATGGCTCTACACCTATATGTGAAGATATTGGCAGGTTAGGACAATACATGTTTTGTTTTCACTTTAAATATTTTCTTTCTGATTTTTTTTTTTCCCAACTTGAACTGTTTTAAGTTAGCAGTAAATTAGACCAGTCAGGTATGGGAGTTATTTTAATAAACAGACTGTCTTAGCCGTTTGTACACAATAAACATACACCTAATGAAATTAATTATTCTTGGGCAAAGCTTCTAGCTGCCAATGACCCTGGTTTAATGTTTCAGCAAATAAAAATATAATTATATGATGATTAGCCAGTATAGAGTATTCCTTTTTCCTCAGACAAATGCTTTGCTATGACAGAAGAATACCTATTGATGAGATGGAAATTAGACTTAATATGAGTACTTTTAATTATAAATGAAAGGTTACTTAAGTAAAATGAATGAACCCACCACTACCTAACCTACTTTTAAGGTAAACAATCTTTTGTGCCTAATTAACATTGCATAACCCCCTGGTACAAAAAAAGATATTTAAAAATAAGATAGTCAAATTGTTTTTTGGTCTTGTTTAAAAAATATCAAGATTTAAATTAAACAATGATGCCAAAAAAAACCTTTTCAATAATATCTATAGTTGAGTATTAGTACATTTGCACAAGTTTACTGCAGTCACTATTGTTAGCGAAACTTGCCACTTGCACCAAGTGATGTTCTAATTTTTAAGGCAGATTCAGAGTTATCTTTATTCATAGCATCATCTATATCTATCCCTTTAAGTTTCAAATTTCAATAAATTCTATTTGGGCGTAAGTAAGCTTGTTAGGGCTCATAAATTAGCATACTATAGCTATGGGTAAAAGGCAGGCGCAGAGTGAGCATTAAGTAGCCTGTGGGAATTGGGTAGAACATTATTGAGAGGAATAAATAACTTTTATATTATATATTATTGTGCCTTATTGAAATACGTTCTTGGGAATCACTAACATTTTAGAAATTTAAAATAAAATGTATTGCTATAAAAAAATTATTGCTGTTTACATCAAGTTATTCTGTTGGTTTTTTTTTGCATGATTGAATAGGCTATTACAGCTGATACATTGAAAGAAGTGTGCACAAAATACATATATGATAAATGCCCTGCAGTGGTAGGAATTGGTAAGTGCCTTTTATTGATTTTGAGATTTATTAAATTTTTACCATGAAGCTCCTTAAAAATTGATATGTTGAGACAAATAAATTATATAACTACTAATAATGATACTATGATTTGTAAATCTGTGAAAAATTAGTGCAAATATTATTTCTCTTTATTTTAAAATTGTTTAGAGATTTAGTCAGTCATTGCCACAAGGCTGTTGATCCCCACAAGCCCTACCAATGACAAATTATTTATCATGCATTAAGTGATTTCTATTATTTTAAAGAATAATCTTTTCTTCCTCTTGTGGAAAGATATAACCTCGTATTTCTTGATCCTAGGACCTATTGAAGCCTTGACAGACTACAACAGATTGCGTGCTGGCATGTACTGGCTGAGAACATAACACTTTTGAAGCTAGGACCTCGATATATATATTAGTTTGTTTGGGAAATTTCTAAGAAACCAAGATCATTTTTTGTGCAGCAGTTCATGAAGATCCCACAAACCAAGGAGCTAAAAGCTTTACTGAAATTCTTTTTAATTTAGATCTGGTTTTCCATCAACTAGTTTGAATCCAAAAACCATACAGTAATTCTTATTTAGAACGATTTCTCAATAACATTTTACTTGTATTTGTGGAGAGATGTGAATATATTTATCTTGCTAGATACATAAACAGGATATTTGTGGAATAGAAAGCAGGTGGTGTAGATTATTAGGTTCCTATTTTGTTTCCTATTTTAAAAGCATCCCCAACATTTGTGATGTTTAAATTGTTAATTTTGAAAGTAATTTGTTATATGATGTGAACTTGTCAAATGCAATGAGTGACATTAAAATATTTTGTACAGTCTTAGAATGTATTTTGTTTCTTCTGCACTGTACTGTTGAAACTGAATTCTCCAATTTTAAATTCAAGCCTAAACACAAAGATAGAAGAGGATTGTCTTTTCAAGCCTAAAAATATCTTGTTCTACTATTTATTTACTTAATAGGGCTTGAACACATTTTCATCCCAAATTGAACACGATAAAACGGGCAAAGTACAAAACAAAATTATATTTTATTGCAATTTTATCTTGATACAAATTCAATCACACCATTCAAGATCTATCATTTCAGTTATAATGAAAATTTGTTCAGTTGCATGTTTTTAAAGTTATGTATATACATTAATAAATGTTGCAAAAAGATGTATTTTGGTAATTAAGAAAGGTGTAAATTATAATTTAAAGCTCCGCTTCATTTTTTTCATATCTTATACCAATATCCAATGAAAGTTTAACTTATAGCCCAGCTAGATTATGTAAAAATAGAAAGATATTAATAGGGCCATGCCTTTAAAAAAAAAAAAAAAATTTCAGGCTAATAATTTTCTTCAAGTTCATGAAAAATAATGCACACTGAGCAAGTTATACATTTATTTTTTAAATAATGTAGACTTGTGCAAACTTTTCAGTCCAAGGGTCAGATGAATTGTAGATTGATGGTTGTGGCCCAGTCTAAAAAATCACTTTTCCACATGTAAAACAAATTAAAATAATAATAGCTGGTTTTTTTTGTCAGTGTCAAAGACTAAATTCTTTTTCCAGGATAAGCATACATTTTAATTTTAATAAATAATTTAAACAAATCTAAATGGTTTGTGTCATGGCAGATATAGACAGTGACAAAATATCAAGTATTATGGTTTTGAGACAAATTGTGATGGTAAAGTTATATGGGATTTTTGCATGCTGTATGAAACAAAATGCTTACTTGATATAAAATAAAAAGTTGGATTTAGAGCTGGATTTTTTTGGGGGTAAACAAAATGTTGGTATAAATTAATTGCATTTCATAGAATTAAATCATCCATAAAACACAACAATCTAAATACTAGTGTCACATATTGTAAAATTATGTCAAAATGTGTCAAGATAACCTTGAGCCTTAACCAATGACTACAGAATATATATATACTTCCACACTATTTCCATTGTTGAAAAATGTTCTTTGGTAAACAACTTTCTACTAAGATGAAAAATCTCTCACATTTAGATTGGCTAAATATACAATCCACTATCAAAAACAGCAAAAACTGTAAAGTAGATAAAGTACGGGTTAAAAATAAAAATCATTCAGATTTTGTTTGACCTAAAAAATCACAATTATTATCCGATAAAAGATATTTACTTAAGAATTGTTAAATTAAAATGATAATTGTATTGACAGTATTTGGATTTAAAAACATCCTTCCATGCATCCTTTCATATTAATGTACAATAATGATAGACACCCATTCTTACCTATTGGCACTCAGAAAAATAAATAGGGCTATTTAAATTTAATGTTAAATATTATTAATTTTTTTATTATGAACATATTTGACCAGGCTATCAATAATGGGCCTGAGCAAGTTAACATTAGAATATATTCATTCTCTTCTCTTTATAACAGTCACATCAAACATTTATACAAATAAAATTAGCGACACTTGGCGTCACATCAAAATGCAGTAGTCCAACAAACAAGATGGCTGCAGGACTAACTAATTACAAGCCACAATAATCATCACCTGTTTGCAATTGATCAATATTATGGGAAAAATTTAGTACCATTTTTAATGATCGAGATGTTTGCAAATTTTAGGGTTGCAAATAAACAGAAATTCAAAGACATTTTCTTTTTTATTTAAAAAAAAAGATACTTTGGATGTATTTAATAAATGGCTATAGTATAAGTATTCCTTCTCCCATGTGTGTTAAATTTTTGTAAAAATATCCATCAGCTGTATAGCAGATAAAAAAATAAGTTTAATAAGTAAATAGTGCCAATTAGCAAAAGCACAGACATACCTACAGCCATTTTTTCCTAAGACAGAAAGCCATATTGGGCTTTCCGAATATTTGGCATGCCTTAAAAGAAAACACAATTATGTTTGGAATGCTTATGGGTAAATTTGTTTACAAAAAACAGTTACACGAAACAATTGCAAGCAGACAGCTGCCTTTATGATGAATATAGTCAAAATACATCAGCAGAAAAACAAATAAAGCCAACATTTCACAGATATAAATAAGTACAAATGTAGAAAACTCACAACATTTTTTTAATACAGGTGATTTTCCGTTAGAACTTAACTAGTTTTCAGTAGACAAATGTAAGTTTATATATAAATTAGTATATTTATAACAGAATTAGTTTTTTTATTATATAATTAAAATAAATAATCCTCAATTTCCTTGAAAATTAACATTAATTACTTATATTGTCTAAAACATTTAAACAAAAAAAGACATTTATAATGAACATTATGCATATACATGATTGTTATCACAGGTTTTTATCCTAAATTCTACAGTCCATGAAACTTAAAACTATACCTAGAGCAAAAAGACATAATTCAAAAAAAATTATTTTGCAGCATCTTCTTGAAAATCGAATGGGAAATTTGAACTCATTGCATTTTAATAAATTTTCTATGATAAGAAAAAAACAACTAATTTTTAATGCAAGCAAAATTGCTACTTGTCTTTTATACACATTATGATGATGTAAAACTGCTTTGGCTGTGGAGATCAGATACATAAACAAATATTGTACAAATCATGGCTTACAACACTATCTGGGACTCTTATTTGGTTAGTTTTCTGAGGATTATAACCTTCTTCTGCAGTAACTATCGCAACACGACTATACAGAGAACATAAGAGAGACTAACATTGGGGAACATATTAATAAACTAAGCTAATAGCATTCAGCAGTAACACAAAGTCAAGTATAAGCAGGTTCAGTGGCACATCAAGCAGTGGTTTCACTGGATCTGAAATCATAGAACAATTTGATAATGTATAGTGTGGGACAACAAGCAACATTCACTTTAAAT